GAAATACCAATACAGCGTGACATGAAATATTCAGTTCTCAGATGACAGAATATATATATGAATATAAAAGATAGAAGAAAAGTTCTTCTACGTTGATCTATCAAGTATAAACATATTACATAAACATGTGTTAATTGTTTTCTACGATGGTATATCTTCATGTGTTACCTTCTATAAATAAAAAAAATATAATTATAATTCTTCTTCTTCTTCTTCTTATTATTATTAATATTATTGTTATAATTATCATCATTATTATTATCATCATTATTATTATTATCTTCCGTTACAGAGAATGACAATCATATTAAAAAATGATTTTACCTAATTTGATAATAAATATTTTTATATAATAGCAAAAATAATTAAACTTATGTATATATTGTAACATTTTAATAAATGTTTACAAAAAGTCCTTTATCTCGGACCAGCAAGTAATCATATCAAATTGTTTGATGTGAGATGGTCTTTATTCTAACGCATTGCTCTTTGTGCAGAAACATATTTTAGATACGGACCAAAAAATTGACTGACTCATTTTCTGAATACAGACAGATCCACTTTGTCCGTATAGCTTTTAGGCATGCAAACTAACATATCTCGTATTTCCGACCTTTGCCTTAAATAGAAATTTGAGAAAATATTTTGATATGTATACATCGTAATTATTTGCATTTTGTTTTGATGTATTCAGATAATTACGAGAAATTATTGGGAAACAGATGTTGCCCGGATGTATTATTAGTTACCATTATTGTAAACATTTCCATCAAATCACAACATCGGAGGCAACATCCTTTATATCATCACGTGCTGAAAGTTTTAGCACATTTGTAGAGTATCTGCACGTGACAAATGATGTAAAAAATGAACAACAGGAATTTAATGTCAAATTATATATACCTACCTACTTGTATAAATATGCTTTTTATGTCTTATAGTTATGATAAAATAATTGTTAACTTCAGCTGCACTATTCAACGATATTTTCCTGCAATGCCAAATTTAAACTGCAAGTCAATACATTTCTTGAACACCATATGGTTTATGTTTTATATTACATTTAAATCATAACTAGACAAATAAAAATAAATTTGGACAAAAATGTTTTAGAAAAAACGACTTAAATGATACTAATGATAAAAGATGTATAATAAAAAGTAAATAATATGAACATACCATTGTGAAAATCATGATCTGGAACGAAATTATGATAAGTAAAAATTATCATCTTATAACTTCATGATAAATTTATTTCTAAATGCAAGCAATAAACTTTTAAAAAATATATATACTTTGTATAAGTTATCGTAGAAATGAACCTAACATATAGCAGGAAGTTATTAAATAATTAAATGTACAGTACATATGTTTTTGTTTCGATGTATATTGTGTAATGTTTTTCTTTTTATCAAATATGTGCTACATCTATTGTTCAAAATGCTTCCAAAACAAAGGGCATACTCTTATTTTAATGAAAAATCGATGAAACTGATAACACCGAACACCCGTTCTGATATAAAAAAGTACCCATTTTTGCACACCAAACTAGTGTTTTCGTTTGTTTTACACATGCTGGCAGGGGTTGCCAGATGAGTTGCGCCTCCAACAGTTCGAAGAAAAAAGTGTTCATGTATTTGTTAAGGTAAACTAATTTAAGTATCGTAGAATAGTATTAAAAATATTTGACATGTGTTTGCGGTTCGTCGGGACGGATATTCTGATCCGGACCGCAACACATGCCCGAGGTATATGTGAAATTCATTTATGTATAACTGAACATTTGTACACCAGTTTCAGACCACTCCTACTGATAACAATTATCTTATCCCTTTAATTAAAACATTGTTTCAAGATAAAGATAGAAAAATAAAGAAAAAAATATGCTTGATGAAAATCGTTAGAAATAACAACACTGGTATTTTATTGATAGATGTTATTTTTAATAAAATATGTCATTGGCTATGTTTTGTTATGTATTTCGGACGTTTCTACGGAAACGTGCAACCATTATTTTACAAATTATTTTTAATACAGATATTTTTCAATAGACGAAAACAAAATGTTCATATTAGAGAAGTTTTTTTCTAAAGTATTTTCTGATAATTCTAACACTCTGAATAATATTGTAGTTTGACTCGCAGAACTTAACATACATATTTTAACTTACGCATTTCAAAATCAACCTCTAAAATTTGAAATACATGATGTAGATAAGTACAAAAAAGACATTTCTTAAGCAGAAACATATTTTCCGTATTTTCATTCGACATTCTTACGAGGTCATGGTCACGGGACATTTTAAAAGTGTTTCAATCCGCAAATTAATGTCAAGACAACCTATTTTAACATTGTGTGGAGAAAAAATAAAGAAAACACAATTTTTCAACAATATAAACAAATAAATTTAAAACTACGCTTACATATTTGATTTATATTCGTAAAAAAAGAATATTCATAAAAATGAATGAACACGTGTATGTTAAAAAATGATTAAATAAATCAAAGTACATTCGAAGAAAGGGAAATAAATTTCGGTGTAAATTATCAAACCTGAACATACAAAGTCGCTCAAATAATACAATTTAACTGAATGTAAATGATATTCACAATTGATCCGTCGGAACAACCTCCAGCTTTTCACGAGTATTTAAATTAATACTTTTACTAATTTACATTTCTTACATATATTATGTGTCTTCACTGTCAATTTTCTTTAGTCTGTGCTCGCAAAATTTTAAGAAAAGAAATTTCAGAGAGAGTAATTTCAACAAATTGTGGCACCTGAGAAGCAATATTTCATGAAAGGAACATATATTTTGGTAAAACACTAAGGAACCATATGTTTGGGGAGGGAGTTTGCTAAAAGACCACCGGGCGTTTCGAAATATTATTAGAGAAAAGTGTAAATTTAGACTCACGCAGGTGTGAACTTCTGTGTGGGAATGTGGATATTTACGATACAAAATGAAGATTTTTATACATAATGAGACGGTAGGACAGAGCCAGAAGTCTGTGCTAGAATATTTGTCGGAAAATTGCACGATTAACATTTTAATGCATGGAACTTAACATCAATTACTTCGTTATTTATTTGACTTCTTTCAGTTTTTTAGGAATTTGAAGTTAACGTACTTTGCACGAAGAGGTATTATATTCTAACTTTTACAATATTTACAATATCAAACTTCTTGTTAAAACTTTGGTTATTCGTGTTATAATATTTCATTACATTACTTAACGAAAAGCAACACATCTTTAAAATGAAATTAGTATTAGAGATTTTTCTATCTTTTGTTTCAGTCAATATTTTTAGTCCTAATGGTACAACAACTTCAAATGATTAAGGAGAAGAAGTAGCCTTTGTTTATTTTTGTAAAACCTGATGTTGTTACAAACTTATTTTTTTTACTTACCCAACTGTATTTAACTATGTCATTGATCTTTCGTTGTTTTATTAACAATTTTTGACTTTACAATCATCATTGTGCATGACAATTAGAAAAATAAATAATTTCATTAAATTTATGACAAAAATTATACATACATGTACTTGTTTATCATATACTTATATATGAAATATTGAGAAATATTTATGAAATAAAATGTGTATTTTCATTTTCCATATTTTCACTATAAAAAAATATTTTTCACTGCGGTGAAACATATTTTCCGTATTTTCACTGGTGTCTTGCCGGACTACTTTCTTCTAAATTTAGCCAATATACAAAATTTAAGGGAAAGTCTTTCAAATTGTAATGTCAAAAAGAGAAAAATGTATATAATATATAGACAATTCAAGTTGTTTCTATAAATATAGGATTTTTATTTTCATCTTATGGTATGCAAATTATCATATTTCACTCGTGGCTAGCGCCACACATGCAATATTCATTTTCATACCACTCGATGAAAATAAATCCTTTATTTATAGAAAAAAACTCGAATATCTTCTATATATTAGATATTATATATAACAAAAAAAATAAAATAAATAAAATAAAAATACTTTCAATAATTATGTTATGAAACATTTCATTTTTTTTATTTATTCCATTACCATAATTATTTTGTTCTGGTCATTTTGATTTAATTCGTATAAATTGATAGACCATTGTGTACATTTTTGCTTTAATACCCTTTGCAATATTGTAAAAAAAAACAGAAATAAGCAACAAAAAGATGTCTATGGTGTAACAATTCCGTAACAAAATTATCTTATTTTCAAGGTTAATGAATATTTTAACGAATAAGATCTTCAACATAAGTTATTAAAGTAAAGCAACATGTCGAAAGTGTTTTAGATATATAAAACACATTCCTAATGACACTTTTACCAGTTTGAAAGTCGCAAATTCGTGTGAAATAAGCGTTGGCCACAATAAAACATTTTTAGAGAAACAGTTTCCATGGTTTTATATTCGTTACACAAAAACAATAATTAAAACGATATAAATCAAGTGTTTAATTGTTTTTCTCTCAACACGAAAAGCTTTCAGTTTATTTTCAGAACTGTTAATTTGCGGTGTAGATGAACCAATTAAAATGTCCCAGTACCAAAAAAGTTCTTGATATTTTAATATTTTATCAAAATTGCGGTAAACGCATGTCGCATTTGAAACAATTACAACCAGGGAAAGCAAACGCCTTTCAAATTTGTCAAAACTTAATCAGCTCCCGCAATAAACCTTTTAAACATCAAATATGAATTATTCCAAATCTCCTAAAACACATGATTACAGACAAAAAGATGTTAATTTTCTTTGTTATTCTGTCGATGAAATTAAGAGACCATATGCCTGTAGGAAAATCTTATTTCTGTCCAGTAATTTATCATTTGCTAAATTCATGGAACCAGATATTTTAGGGAATGTGAACCAAGAATTAATCGGTCGCTAGTGGTTTCTGAGGTGTCAAATTTAGTGAACCAAGATTGGAGGCAAACATGTATAGGTGGCGCTGCGGTTCGTTAGAAAAACATGGCGGACTCTCGCGGGTATTTTCGGGTTTTCTCAAATTGTATCTTAACAAAGGTTTATTAAATATTCATAATTGCAGATATCATGGCATGACAATAAAACAAACGCCATGAATTTCAGGACTGATTGTGATTTATACAGGAAACGATCCTGAGCATGGTTGACGTCAATAACAAATCAGTAATGACAGCGTTCCATATCCCATGTTTGTCGTCTGCGCTAACATCATCATATGTTTCATGTATCTATTTACCAGCATTTTCTGTAAAAGGCCAAAGTGCATCACTTGTTAATTATGAATCTTTTACAAATACAAAAAGGGACCTTAAAGGAATAATTGAAGATCATTTATTCAAATTAGCTGTAAACCGTTGTTTAAAAGACAAAATGTAAAAAAGAGACTGATTGTCAAATAAATATGTGTTCTAAATATGAAAATACTACTTTTTTGTGCATTTTTCAATACATTCATATTATGGTGAAGTTACAATCTAACAGCGTACAGCTCTGATAAATCTAAATGGAGAATCCTTGACTGTTTGACCGAATGGATATTTTAAGTATTTATGACCGTACAGTATTTAGATATTACATACTATAGTGTTCTAAATTAATATTTTACTCGTAAATTAATATTTTACTCGGATTATACCGCTACTTTGCGGATATAAATTGTTTGTTTACATTGAACATGTTATGTTAAGTATTTTAAATGTATTTTGTCTAATTTTACATAGCTATAATTAGCATTTAATGAAAGTATTTTTCTTTACGTCGAATTATGTAATATGTATCCAAATGTTAGAAACTCTTTTGCGTATGGTAATATAAGATTGGTTAAAGATATGTAATTGTCCATAATAAGCCTTTATGGCATTTGACATATCTACATGATTTATTATATCTACATATATTTGTTACCCTACTTGTACTTTTTGTATGTTTTTAAATCTAGCATCTTGTTACTCTTTCAAAATATGTATCACCACAAGTGAGCAACAACAGTCAATAAATATAAATAATATTAATGGGTATTTTACATATATATGATTACTTATTAGGAACTGAATGCATATAAACAAGACATATAAAACTTGTTGTTTTTCAAATTATGAAATCTTATTTCATTTGATTGAGGACTCGAACCTGGGTATAGATAGCAAATGGAAAAAAGGACAAGAAAAAACAATATCATGAATTCTGCATTTATAAGATTGTTATGTATATGCATAGAGGAACTTTTGTATTGCATTTTAACCACGTTTTTTTTCATACACGAACTTGTTAAAACGTTCCCGGTGGCCCAAAAAACGTGCGCAGTGTTCTTCTTATAAACATAAATGCTGAAATTTATGAGTATTTTATATTTATTGCTCGATAATATAGCACTGTGTTTTATAAAAGATAATTATGTACACAGGTGATAGTGTTGAACAGTTATCTTTGATAACTACACTATTTAATTATCTTACATCATTACAAAAGCCACCTGGTTTAATTGCATATATATATATGTAACACCTAACACAAGGATTGTTTTTGGATCATTTACTATATGAGTTTTTTTTTTGTTTTAATATCATATATTTATAATAGTACATTGTATACAAATACATGAAAACCAATAGCGAACACAATAGCTAAAACATTTAAAATATACTAGTAGTATCAATTTTAGCTTAATTGCTCTTTCCTTTTAGAATTTAAAATTCTGCCATGAAACTTTACTGGAAAAAATGAGACTAGTGGAAAAAGATTTTTGATTTCGAGTCATATTGCTCACAGAATGCAACATGATTTCGTCATATGAGAGAAAAGCATTAAACAACAAACCTTTGACTGATGTCGCGTTTTTAATCTGCCGTGTATATACGTAATATAAGGTATATATAATAAAATAATAGAAACAAAGAACTATGCTCGTTTAACACCCCCTCTCTCCCCCCCCCCCAAAAAAAAACAACAAACAAACAAAAAAACAATGTTAAGTTGCTCAGTTATGTTATCAGGACATTTACTACATGTTATAGTATATGTTAGTATTGCTTATTATTCAAGCAATTTCTTTATTTGTTAAACATATTTTGAAAAATGACGTTAAGCATGTATAGAAAGATGGAGACTAAACTATACATATAAACTGACTTGAATTCTTTATTACACACAAATAAAAAGCATGTATTTAAATGTCAAAAGTGACCTCTGACTCAAAGACCTCTACATAAAACCTGTAAATCTGGATTTTTTTTCTTTTTGGATTCGATCCGCACAGAAAACGTTACAATTTTTGCGGCGATAAAGGGAACGCGTAAATGAACGTAATCAATCACAAGGCCATGAGTTCTAACATGATAGATGTGTTTGATTTTGTCTTTTATAACAATTCTATGATTGATGACAAGGATGTCCAATCAGTTTCCGGTTACATCAAATACAGGTGTTACAATGTCATTTCCTCAATCATCAACCGGTTCTTAAAGATTGTCACAAAACAAACGCTGTCACTAGCTTCAATCTGATACAATTTTTCTTTATTCAATATTTTTGTGTAGGATGAATTATGGAAATCATGGTCTTTATTCCATTGTTTTGAATTATCGTTATTTACAATAAAACGTTCTTGGTATTAGTAAAATGTGTTGATTGTAAAAATGCAGCTTTTAAATTTACCTGAATATTCTATGTCCTGTATAAGCGACTCCACAAAAGTGAAAATACAGTTTTGTGTATTCAGAATGAATTCGTCAAATAATTGGACAAAACATTTAAGCCGCGTCACGACAAAACCAGCATAATGGGTTTGCGACCAGCATGGATCCAGACCAGCCTGCGCATCCGCGCAGTCTGATCAGGATCCATGCTGTTCGCTATCAGTTTCTCTACTTGTTATAGGGTCTGTAAGCGAACAGCATGGATCCTGATCAGACTGCGCGGATGCGCAGGCTGGTCTGGATCCATGCTGGTCGCAAACCCATTATGTTGGTTTTGTCGTGACGCGGCCCATTTGTTATTGTTGTTGTTGGAGGGGGTAGTGTTGTATAAGCAAATAAGAAATGTACATTCTTAAGCACTGTTTTCAATTACATTGTCTCTTCATACAGAGTCATTTAACACATTTATATTGCAAAAACTGTATATTACAAAGTTTTTCTTTACACAAAAAGCAAGACAAAAAATCACCGACTACCGTACCAACTTTCATTGTAAACCAATAGTTTCCCTCCATTTTCAACAACCATATTCCCTTTATTTCTTTTCTTATCTTTCTCCAATAAAGCACGGCTTGGTTTCTGAAAAGTTTCATTGCATTCAATAATGTGTTTATGACAACAAAATAAGGTTTTCCTAAGATGCAAACAGATATTTTATGATTAATCATCTAGCTATCTCCTTTTATTTGAGAAAGGAAACAAGATTGGATGATACGCCCTGTCGAAATGTTACACTTGCTAACTACCTGAGAGCTAATCCTGTCGTATTGTGTTGATATCTTATTTTCTGCGAGGAAAAATCATGATAAATGACATTTTAAGTACACTTTTATCCACGTTTGACAACCGCTATTTCAATGAAAAGACAAAGTAATGACAGAAAAAAACAACAGAAAACCTGAAAATATCACAAACCGATAAGTTATTAATATTAGCCATAATCTCAGAGATACAGTCGCAATAATCAATGAATTTCAATTTGATGTAACTTTATTTCAAAATAAAGCTAAATTAATCGACTAATATATTTTAAGACTTTATTATGTGAGCATTTTAAGACTTAGTTCTATAAACAGTAGGACTTATACAAATCCTAGCTGCCTAGTGAAACATCACTTTATGTATTATAGATAACATTATTTATCTGTGTTTTTTTTTCTTATATGTTTATTTGTTTCATTTTTTGATAACATCATTTTTCACATGATTGTGTATATATGTGTATTCATCTGTTATTTTGTTTTAATTGTCGTATATTCATGCCTGTTTGTTGTTCTTGTTGTTGTTGGTATTGTCGTTTTGACATAATTGAATAGACTGAATTATTTATACAGAAACAATCGTAAACATATTACACGTATATGATTTTTTGAATTTCTAAAACAGAATTATATAACATTATATATATATATATATATATATATATATATACAAACACATTCCTCCATTTACGGGGCATCGGTCTATTTGAGACCATACTTGTGGGGTGTATATTTAATGTGGGGCATACATAAGGCCTCGCAACTCTGGCATGTTTAAAACGATGTATGGGGGCGTAGGCCACCCTTCTAACATAGTGCCCGTAGGCCGGTTTTAGTAGTAAATGATATATGTCCCACAAATGTATATATTTTTAATGGGGTTTTATGTTATTGGTCAATATGTTTTCACCTATGGTAAAATTAAATATATAGTTGATATATATAACTTAGTACCCCTTAGTTCTGTTGTTTGGAAATGTCATTATATGCCTACATAGTGGCATATATAAAAACTGACTGCATGAAATAATGCCACTCAACTCGGTCTTATAAATAGGCCCCGTAAGTGAAGATATGTGTGAATATATATATATATATATATATATATATAAATTGTATATTAGTACTGTAAATTGTGCACATATATATATAATAATTATTTATTTAGTTCTACTCATACATGCCATATGTGTGTTTACATTTCCATTCAATCATATCATTTAAAAATAATTCGATTCAAACCATACTTATTAATTACAATATAATGATTGAATCTCAAAACAAACATTCTAAAATAATGCAAGTATTGCAACATAATGGCCCTTGTGTTTTTTATTTCATCCTTTAAATGCCAAGAGACGATGCCATCATTAAAAACTCAGAATATAATAATTTGTTATGAAACAAATAACAATTGTAAGTGAAAGATTGTCGCTTGACGCCCTTGAGGTTTTTCCAATTCTCTGTTTTTTAACCATCACTCTGTTGGAAACAAAAGTGATTAGCCTTTGCCACATGTATAGTGCTAGGTCAGTTTGGTAATGTAACTTTAAGCTTTCGTGTTTATATCTGTAAAATTGATAATTAATAAGTTTTTTTTGTTTTATTTTTTGTTGTTGTTTTTTTTAATGAAAACTGGACAAGTCCATTTAAGAAATACAATATGTTATGGTTTTTTTTTTATAAGAAATCATTAATTTATACACGCAAAATGGTGTGTATCCTCAAGCTTACATACATATTTACTTTAATTTATTTTAAGAAATGGT